ACTGGATTTTCAACAACATTCAAACCAAGTTCTTTGCAACTGACTACAGAGGAAATTAAGGTGCAATGAGGTAAGAAACACATTTTATATATGGATCACAAGTTGCTGGAACAGATAGAAACCATGACCTATCCAGAAGAGCTACGTTAGAACTGGGCATCACACTGCCCACTGTAGGTAAGCGCAAGGCACAGAAGGATCTATCCAGATGGAATTGTGCAAATGCACCATGCAAATAATGCTAAAGAACAATCCCAGGGCAAGATGTCCAAAATCACCTAAGCATTTTAAAAAGCAGCTTAAGCTCTAAAGTCATTATGTGGCACTATAAAATTCCTATGAGTTAGGAGCCCAAGTCTCTCATAGATAGGAGAGCAGATGACATTTTTAGACCCAGAAGCAGTAAAATTCTAAATAGTCACTAAATGAGCAGCAAGAGTCAGACTAGGAAACAAGATGTGCAGTACAAAGAAAGAAACAGAAAGTGCTGCTGAAGCATTCAGGGGAGATAATCGCAGAAACTGGAAAAAAAGAACCATTAGAGGACAAGGGAAGTGAGAGGACACAGCCCCTCAACTGTGCCAATAAAGATCTTAATGATGTGTCTATTCCACGACATCTGAATGTTAAGACAGCCTGCAGCAGGTTTATGCAAAGTAAAACCCTAAAGCACATTCAAAGAATGCTAAAGCTCCAAAATCAAGGATTCTGATAGAAAACATCAGAATTGGATACTTCATTTGGCCCTGCTAGACCTTGTGAGCCTAACAAATCTTTTTAACAAAGTAAGCTTGTTCCAAAAACTGCAGTGCAAGAAGATGCATGCAGGGTGATCTTATCAACTCACCAGCAGAATTTAGACCTCCAAATCTACAGATGACCTACCAGCACCTTGGAATGCATTAACAGTCAATGCTAGGACATTACTTCATAGAACCAGAGAATGTTAGGGGTTGGAAGGGACATTAAAGATCATCTAGCCAATCCCCCCCTTGCCATGGGCAGGGACACCTCTCACCAGACCAGGCTGACCCAAGCATTACACCACCTGGCCTCGAACACTGCCGGGGTTGGGTCATCCACAACCTCCCTGGGCAACCTGTGCCAGTGTCTTACCACCCTCACAGGAAAGAACTTCTTGTTAGCATCTAATCTAAATTTCCTCTCTTTCAATTTATACCCATAACTTCTTGTGCTATCACTACATTTCCTGATGAACAGGCCCTCTCTGGCTTTCCTTTAGGTCCACTTTAGATACTGGAAAGTTGCTCTGAAGTCTCTATGCAACCTTCTCTTCTCCAGGCTGAACAGCCCCAACCTTCTCAGCCTGTCTTCGCAGAGAAGATGCTCCAATCCTCTTAGCAACTTCGTGGCCTTCTCTAGACTTGCTCCAACAGTTCCACATCCCTCTTATGCTGGGGACACCAGAACCGTGTGCAGTACTCTAGGTGGGGTCTCACAAGAGCAGAGTAGAGGGGAGGAATCACCTCCTTCAACCTGCTGGCTACACTCCTCTTGATGCAGCCAGGACATGGTTGGCTTTCTGGGCTGTGAGTGCACACTGCTAGGTCATGCTGATTTTTCAACAAACACCACTTCAAACTATTTCTCTGCAGTGCTACTCTCAATGACTTCCTCACCCAGCCTATAGGTGTGTCTAGGATAGTCATGACCCAGGTGTAGGACCTTGCACTTCATTTTGTTGAACTCCATGCTTGATGCAGCCAGGACATGGTTGGCTTTCTGGGCTGTGAGTGCACACTGCTAGGTCATGCTGATTTTTCAACAAACACCACTTCAAACTATTTCTCTGCAGTGCTACTCTCAATGACTTCCTCACCCAGCCTATAGGTGTGTCTAGGATAGTCATGACCCAGGTGTAGGACCTTGCACTTCATTTTGTTGAACTCCATGAGGTTGGCATCAGCCATCTCTCAAGCCCATCAAGATCCTTCTTGAAGGCATCCCTTCTCTCCAGTGTGGCAACTATCCCACACAGCTTGGTGTTGTCAGCAAACTTTCTGAGAGTGCACTCAATCCACTGTTCATGTCACCAACAAAGATGTGGAACACTATCGGCCCCAGCACTGAGCCCTGAGGGACACCACTCATCACTGATCTCCACGTGGACAATGACCCATTGACCACAACTCTTTGCTTGTGACCATCCAGACAGTTCTTTACGCACCGAGTGCTCCACCCATCAAATCCATGTCTCTCCAATTTAGAGACAAGGATGTCATGTGAGACAGTGTCAAACATTTTGCAGAAGTCCAGGTAGACGATGCCTGTTGCTCTGCCCCATTCACCTATGCTGTAGCCCTGCCATAGAAGGTCACCAAATTGTCAGGCATGATTTCCCCTTTGCAAAGCCTCTGTGTAGAAAGTAAGACAGTAGACAAAAGATGGAAGAGGACCAAGAAATACACCACAATTTTCAAATGTTTGGACTTTCTTCTCTCAGCAGAACAGAAGATCATATTCTAACAGAAGTTACGACTCCTGAATTGAATTTACAAGTTCTACAGGGGTGTATGCTATAATTGCCATTATCTCTACCTCTGTGCACCCAGTGTCTCTTCACATGCACATGATGCCTCTGTTCCCTTCTGTTCCACTCTGCTTCAAGCCCATGCCTCTCCGCATTTATTTTCTCCCCACATCAGGCCCAGCAGCCTCAACCCTTCAGAGCTCTATTCTCTGTCACCATCTGGGTCTCCCTCTCTCCCTGTGCTGCCATTCTGAGTCCTAAGACCCTTCACCACCAGTCTCCTGGCTGAGGATTCCTGCTCCCCCCGATATATTTACCTCCTCATTACCCTTCCGCCCCACATTTCGCTACCCTAAAAGCCAAAACACCAAATTCTTTCCCTTCCATTCTGTACTGATATAGAAACAGGTATAAGAACAGCACATTTTTTTGTTTATGCTGGGTGCCTGCACATGGCTCTTTTTGCCCACTCTTCCCTATCTACCCTTTGAGGATGATGTCATCTGTTCACACCATCTTAACTAGCATCTGCACAGCAATGGCTTATAAGCATGTCTATCCATCCACCTACTCCTGATTGCCTCCATATGGTACTGCTTCTTTTCCTGATTTTCTCTCCAGAAAACTTAAGCTTAATATATGTTCACAACTCAGCTCCTTATCATTCCTCTCAAGCACTTTTTGCAGATAAAGCTTCTGCCAATATCACCTCCTGTGAAATAGGTAGTCTTTCGTGACCCCTTCGCCTGTGTTTGACCCACAGATCCATGCTCTACCCAAAATCCTGCTACAATCTTCCTCCATGCATACATCTTTTTCCTTCTAACAGCACAGCTCATCCAATATCTCCATCTTTGTTCAGGCACACACTGAAGAATTAGAAAGGGAGATAGAGATTCATCTGTTTAAATTTAGACAGGCTTCCTTTCTTATCCTAAGACATACTGAAAGTGAAGCAAGTAAATCTCTTTAATATATTAGTATTTATGCTTTCATTTCAGGAATCCTCTTTATCACATCACCCTCCAGAGCTATGTTGGTATCACTGTCTTCAAGCTCTTGGGAGGCAGACAATAAAAAGACAGCTCAAAGGGCTCAATCAATTGCTGCTCAGCATAGCCAGCTGGTCCCTACTGATCTTTGTTCAAAGTTTCTGCAGTCTTTACTTTACAAATTTGCTGGATGTAAAAGGCTGTGGAGCAGGAAGTATGCTGGATGGGGATGCAGCCACTTTAAAATATAAATAAAGTATGCTGGTACCTAAAGATAAATAATATATTGGATGGGTGTCTGAAAGAAGAGGTAAAGAGAAGAAATGAAGACATCTTACACAGCCACATTTTATAATTGCATTAACAACTTAAGAACACAGGACCCCATCAAAATTTGGCCCAAACTGCCATCTTAATAGAGCTGCTTACGTAAGAACTCTGCTTTAACAGTTAGCACTTCATCAAACTTTTAAAAAGATTTTAAAATCTTTTCAATCAAGAAAAAAATAAAGGAAAGAAAAAGCCCCACACTTATTTGAGATTAAAAACTACCCACAGAACATTTTCTACTCAGATATTGTTAAACTATTTGCTTCAGCAAACCGATTTTCACAAAATATTCTTTTGGGGTTTATACTGAATTTTCTTCCAAGGTTTATTTAGCACCAGGACTAATGAATATAGATACTGTGCTACACTTCTCATCATGTGGTTGTTAGCATTGTTTGTACTGACGGAACAGATTCAGAAATCGGTTACGAAACAAGAAGTGAAAATGAAGACACCTCCTGCAAAGTGAGGGTCAAGAACATCATCAAAGACATCCTCACAAAATCCTGAGAAGTCTCTAGCAAAATTTACGTGGAACATACAAGTTTGGTTTTTTTTTTTTAGAAGTTAACATTTCCACAAAATTAACAACCTTCACTCCTAGACACACATTGTACATGGTGATGGATCCTAAAAATCATTCTATCTTGATTCATGAATTAACTGAACTATCAAATCATTTTAAGGGGCTGAATAATCTCTATGAATGCTCACACAGATTTCCCTAATATACATGCAGGTACCAAGTTGTCCTGAATATAATTTACTGGATACAAGACCTAGATGACCACTTGCATACAAACATACAAGGTGAAATTCAGCATGGCTCGAAGAGGCAGAATTATTTCAGATATGTTCTTAGGACAAAAAAAGAAAAAGCCAAAAAAAAAACCCCACTAAAAAGCCTCAGAAATGGAAAGTAGGTAAATTCAAATATAGATTGTTGGAAGCTTTTTAAGCAATAAACGTTTAATCCCTTTTTTTCCTCCAGTGTCATGTGGTTTCCAGTGTACACAAAGTAAAGAGTGAAAAGGTAAAAATAAAACAGGCATACCCTTAATATATTCCAGAATTCATAAATCATTTGTAAATTTAGTCCTTTTATAAAAGAATCCTTATATAAATCGGGGGGAGGGAGGGCATCAATCCCATATATGAAGCACAATTTAAGCCCAACATCACTGACCAATCAAAATTAGTGAATGCACTGCATCTCTCTGCAGTGAGGAGCAGCGACAAGGTAGGCTGTCATTCTGCAAAAGCTGCCCATCGCCAGCTTTCCTCTCAGAAGCACTGCTCTTCTTTTTTAGAAAGCTCGGATCTCACTGGTGTCTCTGGAGACAAGAAGCCTTCAGTATGTTAAATGACTTTCATTATGTATTTTCAGATGCTTATTGATTCTACCGTAGGAAGAGTGGGAGACTGCAGCAGCCTGTAAACCAGAACTAAAGCAGTTGTATACATTAGCAGTATGCTGAAACAATGGCACAGTACAGGCACAAATTTTCATTGAGGTCATTTTTTGAAGATATGCTTATTACCCTCTTACTCTGCTAACAACAAAATGAATCCCTCCAACCTGGAACTGCTTCACCTGCATCGAGAATTTACCAAATCCTTAGTGGAGGTAAGATCTGTTCCTTATTATGGTATGCAGAATAAGCAACATTTAGCCAAATTGTAAAACTGGAGAGGGAAAAAAAAAAAAGGCTAGAGATCAGATTCAACTTAATATATTAAGCAGTAATATCTTGTTCTATTTGAATGAATCCCTCCAACCTGGAACTGCTTCACCTGCATCGAGAATTTACCAAATCCTTAGTGGAGGTAAGATCTGTTCCTTATTATGGTATGCAGAATAAGCAACATTTAGCCAAATTGTAAAACTGGAGAGGGAAAAAAAAAAAAGGCTAGAGATCAGATTCAACTTAATATATTAAGCAGTAATATCTTGTTCTATTTGAAACCAGGAAATATTCCAATGCTATTTCCCCCTCCCCATTAAAAACACAATGGTAGAAAAATGTTTTTCTGTCTGAAATTCTTATAGAATATTAAGAAGCTGTTTTTTGTTCGTACAACATAGAGACAGTTTAAGCTGATACAGTATCGGGGAAAACAACCACATAATGCAAGCAGGAGTATGTTTTTCCTCCCTCAGCAGCATTTCAAAATATTGGCAGCTAAATATGTTTCGGATTTATTTAGTTACTCTTTGAAGGATCTGATAGTCTGTAATTAGTGTATACTTATTGCTTTATAAAGGTTGGCTAATATGACTAATCTCTGATTGCTCAAGTAAACCCTCTTTTTTGTTGGCTTTTTTTTTTAACTTGTTTCTTTCACTACCCTCGATATTCAAGCCATTTATTAAAAGCATGAATTTTGCCAAACATTTATCACAAGAAAGGAAATTATAACATTGTGCAAATTAAACAAAAGCATATTTCCTATAAGGCTCATTAACTCTGCTCAATTTCTCATTAAAAGACAAGAGAGTTGTGTGTATAAACTACCTGCTCACAAGAGCTATAAAACTACCTTTTCTGGCTTTAGTCACAGGCACTCTACATCCCACAGTTTTTGTTGCTAGTCAGGGGGTTTTGGTACCTGCACTATCTGAAGAACAGGAAACTTGTCCAAAAAAACCCTTATCACAAGAAATTATAACATTGTGCAAATTAAACAAAAGCATATTTCCTATAAGGCTCATTAACTCTGCTCAATTTCTCATTAAAAGACAAGAGAGTTGTGTGTATAAACTACCTGCTCACAAGAGCTATAAAACTACCTTTTCTGGCTTTAGTCACAGGCACTCTACATCCCACAGTTTTTGTTGCTAGTCAGGGGGTTTTGGTACCTGCACTATCTGAAGAACAGGAAACTTGTCCAAAAAAACCCTAAATTCATGCAAGCTGCTAGAAAAATGCTATGATTTTCACCAGCAAATAGAGAACACACTAAGTGATTTTCTATGCGAGCTATAAGGTCCAATTTTAGAGATCTTTGATAGGTTAGTGCTTTTAGAAAATATATTCTTGCATTACTTTATTTTGAAATGCTAAGCCCTACTTTTAACCTTTTTTTTCCTCCCCTTCACAAGGGCATGCAGCAAGTAATTCAGTTTTACAACTGACAATATGAAGAATGCAGTTGACCGGGTCTCTTTCTAGCTGTATGACCTACAAGCCGCAGGATGCATCACTAGAATGTATTCTTAAGACTTAAAGGAATTAGAAACAAAACATGGAACACACTTGTATTCCCATTTACGTGCATGACACTTCAACAGTGTACATGGAAGACTAACACATCTGCTCAGATTTTCATTAAAAGAAGAGTGCACTGATTGATTCTTAAAATGGTGAGCATTTCTTAAAGAGGGATTTATAATTTAAAACCAGAATTGTGGAAACTACTGATGCATGAAGAAACAATGAAACATGAAATCCCCAAAGGAGAATATGCATACTTCACCAGCAAGCTGAATAAAGGTTTAACCAAGCTTTTTCTATACTACCCATTAAATAACTTATTTGTCATAATGACTAATGGATATTTTTTCTCTCAATTTTATGATCTGTTCTGTGTTCTCCTTAAATCAAAATAAACCAAATTAGGTAACTCATGGTTACTCTCAAAGCACATGAACTGGATTTTATGATGTATAGCAACTTCTTTGACTAAGCCATCACTCAAAACTAATGAGCAGGAATATTACAGAAAGAAATATGCAAGCATAAACTAAAGGATGTCTCCATATACCCTGAGCACTGAGAGCAGAAATTATTTTGCTTTAAACCCGGAAAATAAAAGCAGGCTGCTACAAAATGCAACAGGGGAAAGAAATTAACATCACTTAAAAGAAGGTTTATTTGTTATTGCTGGCTTGAAACTCAGAACAGACACGCAGAATATGCCCTGGTCTTTAGAAGTATCTGAGGCAATTAAGAAGTCCCCACGTTTAATCAGAATTTTTTGCTGCTGAACTGCAGGAACAAAAAAAAGAAAAAAAAAAAAAAACCAAACCAAAACCCTGCGAGGAAGGAGCTAAGAGCCCAGCTACCACTCGATTCCGAGGTTACAGTGCATGTCCAAAAGCTCTCGGTGACACCAGGTATCAGTTTATGACAAGCTGCTGCCATGAGCTGAGAGGCCCTTGAGGCACAGAGAACAGGTAGGTCAGAGTCGCATGTCCCAGCTCTGCTTGGCCCTGCAGGGAGCAGGCACTGCCCCAGACAGTGCGGGGAAATCAGCTCCTGACAGCTCTGCTCTCATTTCAACCAAACCCCAGCAGTGCAACAAGGAGGGGATGTTTAATCTAGTCCCACAACTTAGCACATCTCAAGTTTTCTGTTTCCACAGAATTTCAGTTGGCATAATGTTAGGGTGAGGCTGTCATTTGTTTTAGCTGATCTGCTTTTGATATCTTCCTGGCTGTGGCTAATAGAATGTCATTTCCCCAGCAATGCATGTGCAATGGTTCCTTGAAATCCATTCACAGCCAGGACAGCACACAGAGCGAATCGTATTCCTCAGGGTTAACACCAACCCAACAGAGGCTGCTTAAATTAGAAACGAAACAAAGCTTTGGAAATGTTTCTTGTTTCATTTCACACCTGAGACTAATACATTCTAATTTACATATATTTTATTTAAGAGGCACATGTAAAATCACTGTTGAAGCATACCGAGAATTTTCATCATACAATTTGCAATTAATAGCATTGTTCAATTGAGGCTTTTCAGAACTGCAGGTGAAATTTGCATACTGTATCCCCAGTGTGCTTAATTCAGACTTTCATTTCAAAAGAGCTGGGTTTTGTACACCTTAGTGCTATCCATTTTAATGCATTCAGAACAGAACAAAGGTCGGCGCTGAAATTTATTTTCCTGCCAGATACGTCCCCTCTTAAATTTAAAGCTACCTAGAAAAACAAACAAGACCCAACCTCAAGTATCATAACAAGAAATTGGATAACCTCTCCTTTATTTATTCATTTAATTACGAACTCAGGAGCTGGTTGACAATATAAATAATACAAACCTGAGGTATTACATGCAGATGCTACATTTAGAACTTATCAGCATGTGCAAAACAAAGCAGATGAGCCACAAAATAAAAAAACCTCCTAGATGTAATAAATGCTATTTTTTAAACCTTGCTTGTTCCTGAGAGAAACATGCCATGCATGTAAATCTGTTGGATTTAATTGCAGTTTGTAAAAACAAAACCAAGAACTAAACTAAACCAAAAAACAAACCATGAAAGAGACAAATTTTTTTTCCTAAGTATTGTTTTCTACAATTATTCCCTTAAATCTATTTGGGAATCAAATTAAATACTCTTCCATTCCATGGAGGCACTGGTTTCCTAAAGAAATCAAATATTCATATCAGCAAAAGGAAATGCAGTATTTCCTAATAAACTCCATTTCCCCAAACCCACAGAAGTTTTGCATTTGAAATGATATATACTTACATAAAACTGTTGCAGTGGGAAGCATCATACGTGTAGATGCATAAAGAACCAAAGTGAACAGAAGATTTCAAGCTCTGTAAAAATCTGCTGAATTACAGAACTTGACTTTTCAGCCCACAACACTAATGCAAACTTCATACCACTAAACTGGCATCAATAATTTAAATGCATTTTTTATGATACCTAAGGAACAGTGTGCTCCATGTTCCTATCACTTGCTTTCTCCACGAGAGCTTTTCAAAATTATCTTGAGCACTAATTTGTTAATACTTAACAACGTTCCTCTAAAATGCCCCTCAAAGCAATACAAAGGCTATGCACAAGTATAGTTTATTCAACAAATGGGCCCTTTGTAACAAACCACATCACTGTAGACAAAGCCTTCCCTCCCTAAGTGGAAGCTTTTCACTTTTTTTTTTTTCTTTTTAAACAAATCCTGCTTGCTTTTAAAAAGGAAAGACCTTATTCTAGATCCTCAGGCTTTTGAGTCCATGCCAATTAAAGCTCTAAACATACAGCAAATGAAGACTTTGGTAAGAATAGATGCTTTTCCTCCCTCCTCCTTCCCCAGCATTTATCTACATTAAGTGTTAAAAAAAGAAATCAAATAGTTCCATATTTTATTTCACCTTTCAGGAGAAAAGCCAACTGCAACAAAAGAATGTGTTTCTCCCCCATTCTGGAAGTCAACATGCAGTCTGAATCTAACATTACAGTTCGAGATGCCATTGATGACATCGATACCAACATGTACCAACCACTGTCATATCCATTAAGCTTTCAAGTTTCTCTCACTGGATTTTTGATGCTAGAAATTGTTTTGGGACTTGGCAGCAACCTCACCGTGCTGGTACTTTACTGTATGAAATCCAACTTAATCAATTCTGTCAGTAACATAATTACAATGAACCTTCATGTACTCGATGTAATAATTTGTGTGGGATGTATTCCTCTAACTATAGTTATCCTTCTGCTTTCACTGGAGAGTAACACTGCTCTCATCTGCTGCTTCCACGAGGCTTGTGTCTCTTTTGCAAGCGTTTCAACCGCAATCAACGTCTTTGCTATCACTCTGGACCGATACGACATCTCTGTCAAACCTGCCAATCGCATTCTGACCATGGGAAGGGCTGTGATACTAATGACATCAATATGGATCATTTCACTTTTTTCCTTCCTGATCCCCTTCATCGAAGTCAACTTTTTCAGCCTACAAAGTGCAAGCACTTGGGAAAATAAGACACTTCTGTGCGTGAGTACAAACGAGTACCACACTGAACTAGGGATGTACTACCACCTACTCGTTCAGATCCCAATATTCTTCTTCACTGTTGTAGTGATGCTAATTACATACACCAAAATACTCCAGGCCCTAAACATTCGGATTGGTACGAGATTTACAACGGGACAAAAGAAGAAAGCCAGAAAGAAAAAAACTATTTCTTTGACCACTCAGCATGAGACTACAGACATGTCCCACAGCAGTGGAGGAAAAAATGTCGTCTTTGGGGTAAGGACTTCGGTGTCTGTCATCATCGCTCTGCGCCGAGCGGTCAAACGGCACCGCGAGCGACGGGAACGACAAAAGAGAGTCTTCAGAATGTCCCTCCTGATAATCTCAACATTCCTCCTCTGCTGGACACCCATCTCTGTTTTAAACACCACCATCTTATGTTTGGGCCCAAGTGACCTTTTGGTAAAGTTGAGATTATGTTTTCTAGTAATGGCATATGGAACAACTATATTTCACCCTCTACTTTACGCGTTCACCCGGCAAAAGTTTCAGAAAGTTCTGAAAAGCAAGATGAAAAAGCGAGTTGTTTCAATAGTGGAAGCAGATCCCATGCCAAATAATGCTGTAATACACAACTCATGGATAGAGCCTAAAAGGAACAAAAAGATTACCTTTGAAGACAACGAAGTAAGGCAGAAATGTTTAGTACCTCAGGTTGTCACTGACTAGGTTTCAGTATTCACCAAAACACATCAAGTGGAATATTTGAACAAATTGTAGAAAAATACTGCCAAATAAGAGAAACTTTTTATAACTATTGGCGAGACTGTATATTTTCAATATCTATGTTAAATACAGTAGGTCTTGTATATTCAATTTCTTCATTATGTAAGATATATGTTGCATGGCTGTTTGTTAGCGTAACACCATGTGTATATTTGTCGAAAATATTCCAGTCCTCTTTTTTTAGAAAATAAATAGCCTTAAAGAAGTGCAAACTTTTAAAAATATTTGTATGGCTCAATTTCTCTGTAAATATAAAAGAATTTTTCAACAAAGATTGCACTCGGGAATACTTTTCTAAAGCATAAAGTCAACGTTTTGCATGATATGGTATTGCTGAACTTAATCCATCAACAGTGTTGATCAGAGGTATTCTGAATGCTATGCAGCTACAACCTGGACAAATTTTGACCTCAAATTTAGACAGCTACTTACTGCAAATGTCTCCAACATGTAACCACCATGCATGTGTAGACAAAGACATTTACATGATATCCTTCAGCTGATGCTTCAGAATTAGTTACCTTTGATATGGCAGCGGGGAAAAAAAAAAATCATGCTGGGCCAAAAATTGACAGTACTTTTAAGAAAAGTAAAATATCTTGCCCATACAAGCTGAGATCCAGTTTCTGCACAGAAAATACGCAGCTTTGAGTAATTACATAGGAGGGGGTAAGGACTAAAGCCAGACTAAACGAGGGAGAAAACCACAGATAAGAGAGTTATTGGGCTTGATGCTAAAAGACCAACAAACAGAGCCATTCCTGTGCAAAGGCTTAGATTTTCACACTGAAGGGGTTTAGCTGGACCTCTGCTGTGAGATTGGGACCTTTTACACAGAGATTTTGCATTCACACCATCTGCCTACAGAGACAGATGTAGCTGTTAAATGCCAAAGCTAAAGCAGAAGATCATTTTTCTGGCCTTCAATAGCGTTTTTATCATTTTTACTTCACTACTCCTTTAATGATGTTCAGTTCTATCCATGCAACTGCTCTGTCACAGACAGATCACCAATACTGACAGCTACCCTGTTCCTGTATTTCCTGGCCAGCCATGGTACACCTTTGCTTTACCCTTCTCTTTTTCTGTTTCATCTAAACCTGCATTTAAGAGTCAAGGGGCCTTGAGAAAGTCACCATCATCCACAGCACTGTAAGCAAGAATTAGGATGTCAATCCAAACAACAGTTTGTCAAGTTGTTTGCACCATGCCATGCTTAAAAATGTCATAATTTCAATGAACAGTGGCTATATTCATTGACTTAGCTACCAGTCATGGAGGTGGAGGGAGAAACCAAACGAAAAACTGCAAAATCAATGAGTCTGATTTCACCTGTCTTGTTACATAAACTGATCCGTCTGTCACCAGCTACCACTGCACTTAAAAGGCTAATTCTCTATAAGTATGAACTTCTATAAAAAAAAGACAAGCAGAGCATACCCTGGAATAGGAGAGCTAGTTTGACTAAAGGATTACAGGAAAAATGAGGATTTCTGAAGTTCCATAGAGAAAAACCATGTGGGTTTAAAGGAACAAAAAAAACCTCTTTTGCATTACATTGCTAAATTATTAATCATATGTGTATTGCCAAAACTGGTTTTGTGGTAAAAAATAAAAATTCTTGTCATGTACCTTAGTTTACTTAGGGTCATGCCTTAGCTTACCAGAAGCCTCAAAAAATAATACTACAGCACAAAGAGTAGCCACTTACAATCACCCTAATTCTACTTAGAAATTTTACTACCTAACTGATAATAAGTGATTATCTGGAATTACTGTGTAATGTATTCAAACATAATTCCACTTCTTTGTGAAAACTAGCCCAATGACACATGCATTCAGCTGTGCCCATCTACAGGGTTGTTTTCAGGCAGCTATCCCTAGTTTCCTACAAGACTTGAAATCCTACATCTTATTTGAGAGTTTGCAGGAGAGAGGTAAATGCAATAAGGTTTTTTTTAATGCAATCCATATTTATCACTTCAAAAACATTCTTTGAGGAGTAAGTTCTTCTGCAAAGAAATGTACCTAAGCAGAAACTATCCTTTTTTTCTCTTTTTTTTTTGTTGCCCTTCTTCCTTTCCCTTTCGAGCTATCCTGTGTATTTTGCACAGCAGAAGGAGAAAGTGGGATGCGTAGGGTTAATGGCATAACATGATTTCACTGATCACTTCTCTTCCAATAAAGCATTCTTAAATCAAAGATATTACTCATTTATTTCAAAAGAAGGAAAAGAGAAATCACAACAACCACAACACCTGTATAAGTTTACATCATGTCCTTATCTTATTCATGTAAGAAAAGCTTTCAGGCTTGAAAGGTTTCTTGACAATGTGACTGTGCTTTTAAAAATTAGGCAAACCCTCATGAACTACACGTTTAGTGTTAAAAGCTCATTCATTAGAAAGTCAGATGCAGTGAAGCAGCACTTCATAGCAAAGAGAAAGAGCAGCCCAGGAATTAGTTAGGGAGATTAAGTCCAGTTTTAAAGGCTCTGCCGATCACAGTCATTGATTGCCTTTAAGAATATCAGTAAGTTCATTTTTACCTTACCTATTCTTCATGAAATTTTAAAAAACGAGACTTATACCATGTTGGAGCAGACTCTGAGGGCTGCAAAGAAAATTCTGCATACAGCAGGAGCAATACAAGTACAAATAGGTGCAACCCTCTACACACACCGAGGCCATTATAAAACAGGATCACACACGATCGGTGCCACGTGACAGATTGAACACAAACAAGACAAAATAAAGGGTAAATAGTGAAGAGACTGCATATCCTACAGAGAGGGAAGAGGATTCCAGGAGGGATATGAAGGTGTGCCGTGGGTGCTTGACAGATAGACTGAAACAGAATGCAAAAAGAGGCAGCAGCACCGGAGGAAAAAGGGCAAATATGTGCCACAGTATTGTACAATACGAAGCCCACTGCATTCTTGAAAATGATCTCACCACAGTGAGTCATTAGTTCAATTACATTTCACACCACTCAGCCTAAGGCAAGCAGAATTGTACAGGACTCTAAAAATATTAATTCCAGCAAACACATCTCAAACACAAGCAAGCACTGCCAATTTCCACACGGTCGCTGTCCCTGAAGTATTAACTGGTATCTGACTATGTTGTCTTTTAACTCAAAATGCATTTCCATTCAATTTCACATTGTAAAATGAGGTTAGTCCACGCTAAAAATACAAAAAAAAAAAAAAGCAGCAGAGTACAGTGCCAGCATCTATTAGAATATTCAAGAAGCACCTTCACACACTAGTACATTGCAAAGCAGTGAAGCAGAAATGTAAATACATCACAAATAACTAGTTTCCAGTTGGAAACATTTTTTATGGATTACAAGGCACTGCTACGTAGTCAGAAGTTCTGTTTACTTCATTAGTGCCAAGGGAATAGCAGTCACTTTCTGAATAGATTCGATTTAAAATGCATGGATCTGGATACATATGAGATCAATACACCTCTCTTCCTTCATGGTTACATAAATACACACAGGTACATAATATGGAATTATTATATATCTGCACAGACCAAAAGTGAGGTTCAACATCAGCATCTATTTTACATTTATCTGGAGGGGGTTTTGATAAGAGGATCACTGAACTGAACACACAGGCACTATGTCCCACCACACCTAAACTTAAACACAGAATTAGAGAATCATAGAATCAACCTGGTTGGAAAAGACCTCCAAGATCATCCAGTCCAATCCTACCATGGTCCCTAGCCCATGGCACTAAGTGCCACATCCAGTCTCAGCTTGAAAACCTCCAGGGATGGTGAATCCACCACCTCCCTGGGCAGCACATTCCAATGTCTGAGCACTCTCTCCATAAAAAATTATCTCCCCCATCTTATCTTCCCCACCATTACCTTGGTGTTTTTTCTTTGTAAATGAACTAATATATTCAACAAGCTACAGAATTCACCTAGACACAAGGAAAATATTTTCCACTCTGTTAACCATTACCTATACTATACTGCAGTGCACATAATACTTCTTTTTCAACATCAGTGTCTGTGCTAGTCATTTTTGATAGATGAATATTCTAGATAGATGTCTGTTTTCTCTGAAGAAAGCTTTAGTTGCCAATTGCCATTAAAGTCTTGCAAGAGAAGAATATAGCATTCTTTAGCAAAGTTTCAATGGAGCATTAAAAAATCTAGAATGCACTAAATTACCCTTCTGTCACCCACTGTTCAAACAAAATACCTCCAACATATAGCTAAGGACAACCAGCTTCTGTCTTAAAACTTTTCAGCTTTATAACAGCCAAATTCCACTCCCACTTCACACATTCTACCGTAATATCACTGAATACATTTGTCTTACACGAAGAGGAAAGAAGAATCTGACTCTGTAATTATCTTCTCCTTTTTCTACTTCATAGAACACTTGTGCAATTCACAAAGCAAAATTAAACACAGGCTTTGAGTTTTGTTTTTCTGAGGGAACGTTGGGGAAAGAAAAAAAAAAGAAAAAACCAGATGTAACAACTGACTAACAGGAAAATCCAAGTCACTCACAGCCAGTAAGTGTTAAATAAGAAGGATGTGGAGTAGGTGAAGAGCACAGGTCAAGTGGAGAAGGGCAGAAGGTAGAAGGAACTGCTGTAATGCAGTTCAGGCCTTCAGGACCACAGAAAGGTGAAGGGCAACATGCAATTGTTGTGCAAAGGATGCTAATCTTATTTTTTAAACTCTAACAGACAAAAATACAAGAAGAGCTTCTCTTTGAATCACTGAGAGTGATATGTGGTTGTGTCAACATCACTGGGAGGAGAGGGGAGAATGAGATGAACAGAAACTAAAGGAAAGGCTCTTGATTTAATTAATGATACACAGAGTAACAGACAAACCAAGAGTGCATTATTTTACTCCTACAGATCAAGGATGCATTTTAGTGCCTACAAACTACATCCAGAGCACATGCATTACAAGCACAGGCCTGAAAGGCTATCGAGGCTCCGCTCCAAGTGATAAATTTTAAAAATGCTATTGAATTTTCCCTTTAGTCAGTACTGGTCAGATAACCTCAGTTTGTCTGGATGCTTTGAGTGTGTTTCACAACCACAGTACATTTCCAATTACTGCTTCTTTATCTCAATTTAATTATTTTTGCAGAGTAATAAATTGAAGGAGAAATATCATTAGACATCTTTATGTTCTTTGCTAAAATTACACTTCAGTGATTATTATAA